TGCAAGAACGATCACATTACAACATAAACATGAACATGAAATTCCAGATGCAGATAAAAATCAGGAAAGAGGAACTTCTTCACGAAACAATCCTAGAATAGATGGTCGGGAGGTTGAAGTAGATGATGACGATGAATTTTATCAGGAATTTCCTCCAGGTTATTATCATGTTGTCAACATTACAGATTGTGATCCACAAACTTTCTGTGCGTTGCTTCACTACCTTTATACCAACGAGATCGACTTTTCAGAGCCCGCTGGAACGGCAAAGATAACGTCGCTCGTGCATCTTTTTCGACTGGCCGACAAATATCAAATAACTGATTTGCGACAACGCACGTTAGCTCGGATATACAAAGAATTGGCGATATCCAATGTGGCAGAAGTACTGTTCAGTTTAGGTCATCAATGGATGGATTTAAAAAGAGTATGTATGGATTACATTTTAAAACACTTCACAGCAATCAGAGATACAGAAGGATTTAATAGAGTATTCGATCATCCTGAAAAGTATTCCGGATTCAGCGAAATTGCCAGGGAACTTTTCAGAAGATTAAAAACTTCTGAAGAAAAAGAACTATAAAAAATTTTTTCTTAATAAGCGAACCAAAAGTTAAACTATTTTTAGAAAGTAATTTTTCCTTAATTATTTGAAAAACTCCAATTTTGTTTACTACCTCTTTGTAATTTATGTTTTAGATGAGGTCAAATCGATAAATAGAAATGTTTAAATAGAATTCCCCCAAAAATTTTATACACTGTTAAGCACAAGTACAATAGGATGTATTGTTTGTTTTTTTTTAGTGAAAATGAAACCATTCAGAATTTATACGGACATAACATCTGTGAACCATTGATAATGAGTGTGTAGCAAATTATGTTAATTATATTTATTTCTACCGAAGAAATACTGTTTCGATGCGAGTTCACTCTATCCTATTTTTTAAGTCTGGTTAAAAACCCTGCTAGTATGTACATTGGATAATTCTTGTCATTAATGCTTGTGAATCTAACTTTAACT